TGTGCAGCAACATACAGTACATTTCCAGGACACAAGTAACAAGACTGATCCTCCCAGTCAGCATCACTTTAAACCTGGGCAATTCTTTACAGCCAACAAATTTACACTGATACAGGAGAGCAGTGACAGTTCCCATCTTCTTTTGTGACTGGAAAGATATAAAGATTTCACAGAAAGAAGAGAAACTCTAATAAACTTGATGTATCTTGTCCATACCCAAAGGCACACAGATTTAAATCCAGTTCTTTAAAAAGTTGAATTAAACTAAGATGAAAGTGCATAAATACTCGGCCAGAGCTTGGTGAATGAAAGAACAAGGTGGGACCACCAAGGTCCCAGCGTTAGAGCAGTGGGAAGGCAGGACAGAGGGAGCCTGGATGCAAGCACAGAGCACGGGAAGGAGCCACCCTGCTTTTACACCTAACAGTGCTCATGAGAATGGGTCACATACAAGGGTGCTAAAGAGGAGGACTGCAGCCCTTTCCTCTTCATGGCTTAACGTTCACTAAAGCACATGCCTGCCTTGCAAGGGTCTAAGATACATTAAAAGTAAAAATGATGCATCTGATGGCTAAGCTTAAGTCTGCAAGTGGAAACAGCATGGTATAAATGAGGGAAGTTTGTTTTCACACACACATGAACCTGCCTAACCCTAGGACAGAATACTGGACAACTGTTTAATTCCTTGCAAAATTTCCTGTCCTACATTTCACCGCAGTAGTTCAAACTTCTCCACGCTCACTTGACTAAAAATTTTAAGAAGTTTTTTTATGCAAGAAAACACATATATTCTCTCTCTAATTTTGCCGCCCTGACTTCTCAGAAAGCAAACTTTCCTTTTCAAACAGATCCAAAAACAGGCAAAAAAGAGCAAGTGATTCATTACACATATCAAACTCCCTGCTTCTGGCAAGAAGCCTGCCCTGCGCTAATGAAAGATTCAGCTGCAGCTTTCCCTGGTTTATTAGCGGGCCCAGCTGCAGCCATCAGGATGTTGTTTAAAGCCCTCGCTCAGATGAGGTGCTCCCTCCTGCTCCTCAAGCGCAGCGAGGAAAGCGTTGCTGGAGATAAGACCAGGAGAGAGGACAGACCTCTGCTTTCCTCCTGCTTTCATTCTGAGCCCCACAGTCCTCCCGACACTGTTGAGGGCTGGGGCACAAGTTTTACCATTTCCTGCCTTACGCGGCTACAGATCAACAGCGAGACAACAACCCTGAGCCTCAGCTTAGAATACCATTAAAAAGTCTTTTTGTATATTCCCTCAAGGAAAGAATACATTTTAACGTATCTTAAATTCTCTTCACAATTTTCATATGTGGGAAGCTCGGCATCTACACTCTACTATATATTAAATAACTCTATAACCAATTGTTTTTACAGTCTAGTAAAACAAGATTTTGCTGATATGCACCCAAATAGTTTTATGACCTCTTTACTTTGATTTATGCCTTTCGTCCCACCACCACCCTCTGAAAAAAAAAATACTGCCCCGAAACCCACCAAATTCTTGCATTTCTCTTTGGGTGAGAGGAGCCAGCCGCGGCCCAGCGCGGGATCCGTGCTGCAGACCCCCCACCCAGGCCCGTTTCTCCCAGACGCCGCTTTGCGCAGCTCCCTGCCCCGCTCACGACTATTCCTGCCACTTGTACAATTACAGGGGTAACAACAGCTGCCAAAATAATTTCTGCCTGTCATCAGAAAAAAAAAAAAAATCCTTTCACATCATCATCCTTCTCCCCACAGTCTTGCTTTTGCATTGAAGTTCTGCATAACTAAAAAGTCATCAGATTCTGTACCGGACATTAAATGAAATGCACATTCCCTGCAATAAATGTAATTACAGCTTTGGAATGCATTCAGTGAATGGCCTTTTTAGATTCTGGAAGTGGATTCAATTCACCTACCCTTAGTCATCTAAGAAACTGTGCTGGTTATCCCTAAGAAGTGATTTAACCTTAGCCACCAACCATGATTTCAGATAGTTAACATCTGCTAACTAAACAGAGCAGCTAGGAAAGAAATGTGGCTGTGTGGCCCCAAGATGACAGAATTACCAAACTTTAAGTCTTTTAGCAGTTTACTTCCAGGCATTTTGGATGATAGCGCAAAAAAAAACCCCCGAATTTCCCAACTTCCACGGTAGATAAAATGAATTACCTTTCAGCACACACCTCAGCATCTATTTATATCGACTGAATTTGACTTTTATATTAATCTCTTTCCAGATGACAGTAGGTAAGCACATGTATGCTGGGAACTCAAAGCCACAAACACACACACACACAAACACAGAGAAAGTTGCTGCTAAATCTGTGCACAACTGAGCCAGGGAGGTTCAGAGATGATTTCTTTTCATCTGTCACACTACTGTGCAAGGTCAAAGTCTGCGTGGGGAGACAGTGGAGAACGCTTTGACTTCCATGACTGAAAAAGATCTCAAAATGACTTTTAAGATCTCAAAAAAAGTCAAAGTTAAACCATTTTCACTGATCCAAACAATGTTTCTTTTCAAGTTTCAAATCTTTCAGTATTTAGAGGAAGAAGTCAAACATGGGCCAGGATGTTTAGCTTCCCCACAACTCCCAAAGAGGCAACCGAGGCTTTGCTGCCTCACAGGTCTTTCTCCCTCAGGGGGAATATGGCTTAAAGATACAACCCAAGTCTTCGCTGTAGCACTTACTTTTTAAGTGATAGTGTACCTTTACAGTGTGATCGAAGTATTTTAACTGCTTAGCACAACTATTTTGCAATAATGACAGCTAAAATGACAGCTGATTAAAAGCATCAAATAAATAAGCACACTGTACAAATTCTCTGGTAATTTCTACGCAGATCTGCCTCTACATATGGACAGACACGTATGTACACATGTGTATATACACACACCCATGTGAAGTATGTGTAATGCAGCAGCAGAGATACAACCCAGTAGCCTTCAGGAAGGCAGTGCCAAAACATGGGATTTGCTGCCCAAAGAATGGGGTGAGGTAAAATTGGCCACTATAAGAAAACACCAACAGGGAGCAGTCCTGGGAAGGGTGGGAAACGGCCAGAAGCCACAAGGCAGTGAGGATGAAGACAACTGTCTGCTTCATCACTGGAAACGTCCATCCCAGCTGGATACAAAAAATCAAATAAAAGGCGGGAGTGTGTGTGTTTGACAGGGGGGGACAGCAAAGTGAGTTTGTATATGTGGAGATGCTGTACAAGGGAAAACAACAGAGATTGAGTTACTGAACGGGGCTCAGCAGATCTGCAGCTCTTCCTCATAAATTCCCTTCTTGAGTGGTCTTGGGCAAGTCATTCCATTTTCTTGTACCACTGTCGCCTGTCCGCAAACTAGAAAAAAATAAAAAACCACAGTATTTCCCCTCCTCTATCACCATCTGCCTTGAAGATGTTGAGTGCTAGGGCAATGTGAAGGTGTTTGATTAAAAGACTGCCAACCCTCTACTGTATGCGCATTCAATGAGTAGAGCAAGGCAGAGATTTTGGTGATAGTGTTTTTACAACAGCCTCTTTCATTGAAGCCCAAGCCATAACAATGCCAAAACTCTGAGATTTAGTTACAAAATGGCAACAATTTCTGGGAAACTGGAGGGCTTCCTTCAACCCGCTCTCTTTCAAATTCCATATGCAGAAAGAACAGAGAGCATTTACTTGCTTTTGATGGAACTGTCTTTCTGTTACTCTGCACCCCCGTGAGCACAACACGCTCTTGGAGACTTGGGCTCCAGGAAAACCTCCTGAGAAGAACTGCCCGACTTCAGAGGTATCAGATAGCAGCAAGTTTCCAGTTTTTATTAACACTTCAGCACAGTTCCACATGGCCAATTTTTCCCTGTCTTTTTCATTTCTCAAATCATCTCGTACATTGTTAAGGAACAATAAAGTGAAAAATATTTTGAGATAACGCATAGAGGGTGCATTCATTTGGCATGTGGTGTTTCTTTCTTGTTTAGGGGAAGAAGCCACTTTCATTTTGAAAGGAAGATTAATCATTTTAATTTATAATCTCTCTTTTTCAGTTCTCCTGCATAAAGAAACCTCTTCTGCGTTCATGGAGCTTGTGAAATACCGGGAGAAAAGAGGAAAACAATATAGGTACAAATTTAATACTGCCAACACATCCCCAAGTGCTCTGGGAGATAATTCAATGAAATATCTGGGAGATATTTCAGGGCTACAGTTGAACAAAACCCTCCCACCCCTCCTCTCACAGAACATCCAGTCTATGGTGAGCACATAAATACTGCCTGAAAACTGAGTATAGGCTACCAAAAGGAATTAGAGGCTACTTTTACAGCAGTTGAGTCTCTCTGGGTTTGTACATACAGGACACAGACGGTAAAAAACAGAAGTGAGATGAGAAGTCTTCTCATCAAGAACGTGGATAATTCATAATTTAAATATACCATCCTGTAGCTTTTACAAGCTGAACAGTATAATAGCTACAGTCCAATTATTTGTACTCAAAGTTGCAAGAAACTTGTACCATGCAACCAATTTGAGATACTTATATATATAATTCGAAATTAGCAAAAAAAGGCAGTCAGATTTTTATTGATTGTTGCTGGAAAAAGACTGAGACACAACATCAATGCAAGCATCCACTGTCACTGCTACTGTTACTTACTAGGTATGTTTTTGGGTTTCAGTGTTTTCTTGGCACAGCAGTTCACACCAGCCTGTGCCTGGAAGCAAGTCCATTCCAGTAACTTCGACTCAAAGCAGGCAAACCCTGACACAGCAGCAGACACATAAGAGGTGTCAAACAGGAAGGAAACAAAAGCATATTTCTGATATAAAACAAACAGAAAAATCTTGGACACACTGTGATGAATAGTAGTATTTCTTTTTCTAGTAAAGTGTAACTCTCCCTTGGAAAGTTAAACACATGAGATCAGTCTTATCCTACGCAATCAAGCTGAAAAAAAGAGAAGAACAGCAGGAAAATGAAGAAGTCCTAAAATCCGGGCCTTAACAGCAAATAACTATGAAAGTGTCTGCAACTTCCTCTCCAACGTGAGTTTGCAGACTGGATCAGAGCTGGAAACAAATACAAACAATAAAATTATGGCACCTGCCTAACAGTTTAAAAGGCCTGTGGAATTTTAAAATGATTCAGAGGGGCCTCATCTCAGACCACTCCACAGAGACAGGATAGTGTACCTGAAGACCAAAGAACACTCGCTCTTTCCTCAATAACTCACCACTCAGGGTTTTTTTTTTTTTTTTTTGTCCTTTACAAAACCAGCCCTTGTAACAGCTAATAACCACTCTGCATAGCTATTAAGTCAGCTTAAATTTTGCTTCTGACTCAGGTGCTCCACTACTGACTTGCATCCCTTCCTCTGACCTTCATTTTACTCCAGGTAACTCAGCTATCTGCTTTGGTGGTCGTTTTTATAAGCGGCCCTAGTTCACACCACCCACTACAGGTAGCATATGTAATTTATGTGTTTAATTTTTTTCTGTAAAGCATGTAGTACAATGTTGAGAGGATCCATTTAAAATTACTTGCATAAATAAGCAAATGTAACACCACTAGCAGACTGTCCTTATCAAACTATAAACAGTTCAGTGACAGCGTGGCCACCGATGCCCCAGACGAACGTGTACTCACTGACACATCTAACAGACCCCAAGATGTTGCAGAACACAGTAATGATATTCTCACTATTTGCTAGGAGGAATTTTAGATTCTCATGTTCTTCTTTGCATTACACCAGCAGCTTTTCCTGGGCAAGCCACTTTCTCATGCTAGATCCAGAAGTGACATATGGCCAAAGGGTGGCCACCGACACTGTTTCCTGTGGGAATAATGTACAACACAGGCGAGAACTATCTGCCCAGAAGTGAACCCCTTTTCAAAGTTGTTCTGTATGAAATGATACCCACAATCCCGGACTTTCCAGCCTGAGTTGCACAAGGCAATGCAGTAAAACCAAATGAAAACATGGTTAATTTCCCACAGAATCGTTTTAAGCATCCCATTAACCTCAAGAGCATTTCACGGCAGCGCTTGCCAACCTCCTGCATAGCCACTTCCAGAAGCAGGACACCAGAGAGGCTTGGGCCTCGGACACACCATGCTGCAGGGCCATTCTCACGAGCTCTGCTCAGGCTGGTTGCAGCAGTTCTGAGCAGTTCTGGTCTGCAGGTGCCTACCCGGACATCTGCCAGAAGCTGCCATCCCTGCCCGAGCTGGCGCGGGGCATCCGCGCCTGCCCCGCGGCTTCGCCACCAAACCCAGCATGTTCAGCGAAGGCTTCTGTCCCTGGCAGCTCCAGCCTGCAGGCTCTCATTTCAGGGCTGAGGCTCTGGAAAATCCTGGAAGCAGGCAGCTGGAGAGCACAGCACAGCTCCAAAGACGCCAGGGCATGATATGTATGTCAGCTCCCATGTATCCCATCTTCAAATGGTTTCCCACACTCACATGTCTGAGACACAAACCTGATGACTTCTCTCCACCAAACTGTATTTTGGGGATTTCTTTTCCTGTTGGAAGAAGGCTCCAAAGTATATATGATGTAGACTTTCTCACCAGGGCAATTTCTTTCACTCGAGTTACAAAAACAACTTCAACAACATTTCTGCACTGCTACAACTGAATCTTCCCACAGGGCTGCAATTCAGAAATTTGAAATGACTTACAAAGTGCTTTTCACCTCTGTAATTATATTCTAAGTTATCAAGTTCACACATGCTCTTCTTTTCCAGCAACCCACATGTGCCTGAGAGAAATTACTTTTGAATATGCTTAAATTAAAGTCCTTGTTTTACACACTTCATATAATCAAACTTTTTATTAAACACTGCCAAGCAATTTGTCTCATTTAGAATGAGCTGCTAGGAGAGGTAAAGGTCCATTATGCTGTTAATTGCATGCTGTAGCTCTGATTTCTTGAAATCTTACGCTGAATATTGGTTCCCCAAATGCCTAATTCTGTATTTACCTAATTCTACTGCCCTGGCTACTACATTGGTCAGGTGTGTGATGCCAGATCAATACAGCCATGCCAGCAAAACTCTGCAGTGTGGAATGAGACATCAAAATAGTGTTTCATTCCCACTGGAGTTTGGGACAGGGAATTTCATCGTACAGCTACGAGACGCAATTCTGCTAATGTAGAAATGTAAGTACACCCTGCAGGCAGAGTGCTTCTACCACGGAAATGGCTACAGTGATTGGAGAGCTCAAATTCACTGCAAGTAAACATCAATTAGAGTTAAAAATGAAAGTCAAGCAAGTGACATTGGAAACGTTTGTGCCGCTGTTCTTAAATTACTTATAAAGGAGGTCAAAAGAATACTTTAGGATGTGAAATTATATCTGAGGTAACTCCAAAACATAGAAGCCACATATATTTTTTTTTCAAGAAGATGGCCACCTTTCTTAAAAGGTTCTGAAAGGTTTTTATGAAGGTTTTTGCACGTAAAACCATCAAAACATGAAGATCCCACATTCAAAAATATTTACATTTTTTGTATTATCTAATTAACTAAGCTCACAGATCTTCAAAGTAAAATTGAATTCCTCATTTTTAAACTGCTTTAGAGCCCTCTTTGTTCTAGTTTGTAGTGACTTGCATTATCATATAGTAATGAAAGTAGAGAGTGGAAAAGGACGACAAAATTATTCCTGTCAAAACATACGTAACTCCACGAAGCAGTAAGCACCAACGTATGTAAATCTGCTGCGTCTACTAATAGACTGTCAGCAGAATCTCATCTAAGCCTTAAGACCTGTCCAAGGGCCAGGTATAAACAGGGCTCCTTCCCAGCCAAGATTTGCAGTTAGTCCCTTCCCACCTTGGAAAGTCTGGGGAGTTCCCAGTTGCCAGGAAAGCCTCCCTCATGTACAGCAAGGTTCCCTTCCCTTCCCTTCCCAGCGGACAACCACAACCAACCGCCCCTCGCTGCAGAAACACCAAAATCAGATGGATTCACTGTTCATCAATAGTTCATTAAATGCAGCTCTTCCTTGGGCTACAGTCAGGAGGAAGGTTAACTTTGCCTTTTTTTTTTCTCTCCTTAAAAAAAAAAATAGGAAAAACACCAGAAGAAATCAAAGGGGTCCTAATTTACAGAAGAAAAGCGTATGAGCATTTTGATAAGTATTGACATCTTTGAAACGTATCAGAACTATCTTTGAAATTACAATAGCTGTTCAGGGCCTGAGACTTCAGATTAAAGGAATTAAATTTCGAAAACTCCGTGGAGTGGAGGCTTATTTAATTAAAAGCAAGCAGAATTTCATTTGTGCTTCTTTGTGGACAATATCACCTACAATATCACATTTTGGCACTGCAGCTAAACTCCAGTTTATACTAAGAGCATTTTTCACCAAGCTCATTTTGGTGTTCACTACAATTGCTAAAAGCCAGCACTATTTGCTATAGCCATCCCATCCCAGTTAGAGGTTTAAACAGGTGAAAGTGATTGGGCAAACTTGGAGTGACTCTTCTACGCTTTCTCAGATAAAGCCTTTCACGTTTGACTTGAACTCTGAATTAAATTGTATACCCTCGATTTGAATTTCCCAAGATGTGGTTCAAGGTGTTGAAAAACTACAGGACTTCCTTGCTTGCAAACTTGCAAAGTTTGTACAGCAGGCAAAGCATAGCACAGGAATCATCTGCTTGAAGCATGTTACTTACACAAGAGGAACACCACCATGCAGAGTTAGAAGGCTGAGTTTCAATCCAGGCTCAGTGATGTTCCTGACCACACTGCTTCAGGTCTCTACTTAGTTTCTTGCCTCACATGGAAAGGATGGTAATACCCACTCGGCTAAAAGACAGGCTGCAATGTAAGCAACTGTAAGCAACTGTAAGCAAACACTTACGAGGTTGCAGATGAAAACCAAGTGCTCAAAACCACCCATAACTATGCTTTGCAGGGAAGGAAACCTTTCCTACATTATTAAAAAAATACATTATAACATATGTATGATATTAGTAGCATTCATGTCAAGCATTTTGGCAAAACTAATAATCGCGCATGTACATGGTCTGCTTGGTTTAGTGCTTGGAGCACCAGACAAGCACTTCCCAGTAAGCTTGTACAGGGAACTTTGGATTTTGAACACACATGTAGGACTAAGGAGATTTTACCCTGCAGGGTCAGCAGAGTGGCTTCTTACCTAAGAAAGTTTCTTGGATCTAGTTTTCACCTTTCACAGGCAGACAGGTCTGTGTGAAATAAAACAAACTCACCGCTCTTAAGCATAAGCTCTTTTGGACAAACTCTTACTGGTAAGCAGGTCTTGCTCTTCTGCTATTGCAAGGAACTTGCCATGGAAAGCAATTAAATTGGTAATTTAGCATAGGACAATGTAGTTATGTATCCAGCAGATAAAAGGGTGAAGACACCACAAAAGGGTCAAACCTTCTGAATCATGACTTAGTGGGACACCAGACGGGACGGTAGCACCAGGAGGCACCTATGGGTCAGTGAAATGCTGATACAGTTGGTCACAGTTTAATCAGACAGCAAAACTCCTCCCCTGAAATCTGTATTCAGGGAATTAAGAGGAATAAACTAGTATAGCGATCTGTGGGGAAGGAGGGGTTTGCTAATGACAGGTAGGCAATTTTAACAGGGTAAAACTAACTGGGATTGCCCAGAGTGCCTCCATGTTAGCACAGAAATAACACTCGGGAGCTCAGGTTTAGTACCGGTCATCACCTTCAGCCTTTTGCTCTTTGTCTTCGCCAAGACAACACTCTTTTCAAACAGGGCTTATTCCCAAATCACGGGGAGGAAAACAAACCAACAAACAAAAAAGCTGCCTGAGAACAATGACAGATTTTCCAAGCAAATAGGTGATAGGTATCTCTAAAAATCTCCTTTACCGCATGACAGGTGTAGGGCAGAAAAAATGTATTGAAACATTAAACACCTTTCAAAAGGCAAAGGGAAATTAAAAAGGGGAAGGGGAAGGGGAAGGGGAAGGGGAAGGGGGGTAAGAAAATGGCTGAGAAATGACTAGGTACTGAAAAGCTCCTATGAACACGAGATTCATTACAGGCCCGAGAAGTCTTCATAAAATACTAAAACATACACATCTTGTTCTTCTAAACAGTCTCACCCATACAAAGCTTGTAATAAATTCTGAAGTATTAACGTGTTATGAAGCTGGCACTCAATAATGACAGAATTTTCCTATACTTTGACACATATCAAGCATACTAATAAAAATCTAGCAGTTTAGACCTGGAAACACTGGAGGTTATTAATCTGAATAGAAAGGCGACTCTTCTGTTCACAAAAATGTACTTTGATTTATCTCTTGTATTCCTGTATCTTAAGACAGCTCATGCCACTCCTAAACGGCACTTTTATATCCAAGGCCCTATCTTTGCTTTGTATCAGAAATAGAAACTGTAAAACAGGTAAGAAACATGAATCAATAACATAAGTAGACACAAAATCAAGAGTAAAGAAAGTTAGAAACAACTCATCAATGTTACCAGCATTGGGCGAGGTCTGTACGGGTTTGGGCACTCTTTTGGTGTGTATTTTCAAACTACCACTGAAAGCCAGTGCACGTAACCTCAAAGAAGCAGATACTCAAAGTCATCAAATTAATCAAACGATTTTCTTCCCTTCAAGTCAATGGGGTTTCCCACACAATATCCATCTGTAAAAAGCCCACAGTCTTTTTTTCTTTTAATTTCTGCTCCATTCACATCAATATCAACCAATTTACGGATCATGTTATCACATTCAGCCTAGCATGAAATATCAGGGGAAAAAAAAAGAGAGAAACCGGGGGGGGGAGAGACACAACTCCCAGCAAATTTGCCACACTCTAGAAAAAAATCCCTACAAAAATGTGCTGCTTTACACTATGGAAGTCCATCGTGTCTGCAGGTTTTCTCTATTTATTTGATATGCTCTTTGGAATTGCTTTCTTTACAAAGTGTATCTTCTCCCAGCACCAAGGACATTTCCATTTGAACAAAATTTCCTTATTCTGTCTCATTATCACAACCCTGACTGCTATACTGCAAGACATATTCGGATTACACTATTCTGGCCACAAATTTGAGAAAGACAAAAGCTGAGTAAGCTCAGAGGGAGGTCAACAGGGTTTGGGCGAGGGGAGAAGAACCCACCTTTGAAGAGGAGTCGAGGAACTCAGCTCCTCCAGCCTAACAAAACAAGAGAATGGGACAGAGTTTCTCTGCATAAGTGCATTAGAAGGGGTTAGTGGAGGATAGGATTGTCACTAATTTCTTTAAGGCAACAGGAAATTTTGGCACAGCATCAAATGGTCAGTGGTTTATCATGAGCAAATCTAGGCTGGAAAAAAGAGTTTTCAAGTTTTTCCAGTGGGGAAAACTGTTGAATAGCTTACCAATATAAAAGAGGAGCAAAGAAAACAAAGCAACGTCCAAAGTGAACCAGACCCACAGACGAGAAGTTCCCCATGACAGCAGGAGATGCGACACAGTGAACCCGCGTTGTGTCCACTCCCATGCGTGACCCATAAAGGCTGTTTGTTTGACCTGGCTTCCCTGAAACCTGGCCCTTTTGACCTTTTCAGACCCCAGAGTCCTCAACACTCCTTTCAGGCCTGCTGGGTCCACGAATGCCAATTCCACCTCATGATTAATCCTTGCCCACCACCACCCGTCCTCCTGGGCCTGGTTCCTTTTGCTCACCACAGCTGCTGGAATAGTCCTCCTTGCCATAGTCCTCTGGTGTTTAACACATCGCGTGGAGAGCTGTGGAGAAGCTGTGTAGCTGCCCTGTCTTTTACCACAGAAAGGTTCCAGGAAAGCTGGAACTTTCTCCAGGAAAGCAATTTCCTCCATAACGAGCCATTATATGCTGAACAAATACAGGGGGTAAGTATTGACTACACTTAAATGGTTTCCCAGCCCTGAGTGATGAAAAAACACAGCCACTAACAGAGACAAGAGATTAACTGAGAATTTCCAGAAGGCAGAATAGGGCTGCTAAGTAGAAACAGTGGAGTTAGACTTGTAGCCTCTAAAAATGGGTACAGTAAATAACCTGCCCATTAGCAAAAGAGAGAACTAAAGGCATGTGATTGTTTGGCAAAGCAGAAGTATTTACTGTCTCTGTAAGAGGACTGGATCAGCCCTAGAGAGCCCAGAGCAATGCCCAAAGCTAATGGCATTAATTGAGATGAGAAGAAGGCTGGAGCTCTACTTATTGTAGCAGGGAAAGAAGGTAATGTCACCTCTCAGACAAATGAAAGAAAAGAAAATGTAGTGAAAACATGGAAATATCGCAGTAATCTGTTCCCAAAATTACCACTGCCTGTAGACCTTTCAGCCTCTGGAGGAAAGAAAAAAATACAACAAGTTCCTAAATATGTGGCTATATTCAGCAGGTTAGAAGTGCACCTGTGGTTTAGAAAAATATATACATTAAAAGCATTAATGATACACTGTGAGCTAGCCAGCATCCATAGGGAAAAAATAAAATGAAGCAACACAGCTATTGACCTAGGCAGACTTTACACTAAAACTGTTTCAGTGAAAAACAGTACTTGAAGTGCAAGAAAATCAAGACAGGATCTTGCAGCACATGAAACAAAACTAACAATCGAAAGCTGAGAAATATGCCAGCAAGCTGAGTCAGAATTTGCATGCTTTAAGGCAGGAAAAAAATATGCAATACAAGTTGACAATTGGTTTAGGACTCGATACGCAGATCAGAACTGCAGTAATCCAGGACCCAGGTAACACACGTAGGGATTTGTGCAAAAAACTCTGCCCTCCAACAGGAGCAACTCAAGAAACTGGAGAGATTCCTCAAGAGAGATGCCAATAGGGAGGCCCTTGAGAAAGCTGTAGCATCTCCTCAACTGCTTAATTCTAACAACAGAGGAAGCATTTGGATTCTTCTACAAGCAAAATGAGGAAGATTTTAAATGGAGCACAACACAGGGTCTTCCAATTTCACAGAATGGTTGTTAGAGACTGCGTTATAAGGTGCAGTTATAAGTAATTTTCATGCTACTAAAAAGCACAGATAGAACAGCCTCTCCTCCTGGGCTTATGATGTTAAGGGTAACATAAGCTATAAATAGCACAGTTGAACTTGTCTGTTATGAAGCCCTGGGTAGAGTCACTTAGTAAAGGATCAGTGAGTGAGATTCTGACAGAGGAATGAGACATGAGAAAATATTAACAGAACTTTGGGCAACACCTCAATTAAAATGGTATTGGATAATTTTTGACTCATTTGAAGCAAATGAAGCTCCTCTCTAACGTTTTGTAACTTATGCTGAGAAATGCCCTGACTTCAAAACAAAGTTGTCAAGCATGATCACACATAGGGGATGGAGGGAAATCAACCCAAACAAACAAACAAAAACCAAAAAAAAACCCACCCTGTGGTTTGGTCAGGTCTTCCAAAAGCCTTGTTTAAAACACCAAATGCTCATCTAGGCTAGTAATGAAGGTGTCAGATATGAAGGTGTCAGATTTGCCAGGAGTTCAAGGATGCATCAGAGCTGTTGCAGTTCCCAGCTGTTTTGTTGCATTACGGTACTACCCGCTGGACAGCTAAAGGATCCCAGGGGCTACCAAGAGAGGGCCCAAAGGCTGCCTCGCTATACTGCTTCTTAGGAAGAAATTGCAAATATGGACCAGGGAGGAATACTGCATTCCTTCTACAAGTATCGTGCTTTTCTAGGAAGAAACAGTAAAAAGCTCCCAGATAAAGTCTGAAAGACAAAAGCAGTTTGAGTAAAGAAATGGAATTTGCATATTACCAAATTTCTCTGTTCCACGAATGTATTTTATTCTAATTGCAATATCTCATTCAACAGCTAAGATTCCACTTAAAAGGCTTCCCAGGAGTCACAGAGATCAGCACTTTTTCCTTTCAATAAATGGAACATTCAGAATTTGGTAGTCTTTGCAACAAGGATTACTCAGAGCATCACCATGAACGTCCAAATTCTATTTACAGCAATTGCTCCATACAAACCACATTTCATGAGCAAGGTATGATGCTCACAGAGACCATGAAGCTATCCGAAGGGTGAAAGATAGTATTAACCAATTCACTTTTTGAAACTTCAGCTTATCATGTTAACAGTTAATAAATTTAGTTCAAGGCCATAGATACAAAGTAAAACAGAGCAATTTCACTGGTCCTGAAACTACAGATATATCCAAATAATGAAAAGCTTCCAGGTAAGCTCTTTGGGTTGACCTGCTAATTCACTCCAAAATAACAATAACCGCTAGGCTATCCACAAGCTTTCTACTGCCTTGTATAGGATTACAAAGAACAGATCCTCTAAAAGCAATGAGCTGATTCCTGCAAGCAACTCTTTGTAAAACAGAGTCTTTCGCCTTCATTTTCGGTTTACTACTGACATTATTAACATTTTCATTTTAGTACTAAGAAAATGAAAACAGGCTTCAACTGTAGCATAAAAGGTTGGGTGATGCCAAGACACAAAAACCGGCCGCCACCTGCGCGGAAGGCGCTGCTGCGTTGCAGCGCCTGGGCTCGGCGTGCGTGTCACTGCCCACCACACACGGCCACCCCCGTCACCCATTGCTTGGCTTTGCCCACCGTGGGACCTCAGGCTTGCTCGAGAGCTGCCCCAGAAGCAGCAGCACTTGCAGTGCTATAAAGCCACCAGGCAATGGGCCCAGCCATTCTGGTTGAGAAAGGGTGGTTTTCAACCTGATAGACGCCAAAAAGGAGGACAGGAGGTACAGCTCGGATGTCACTCATCCCCGCAGCCTCCAGTTAATGACCTTTACAAGGGACAAATCAATACTAAGCAGCTACTCCATCTGCTATTTCTTACTGTGCATGAAAGGTCAAGTAATTTTCATGTATGTATCAGTTCTAACATTACTGCTTTCAGATGCAAAACCACTTAAAGCTGAGAGCACCATGAATAAAGAAAAAATTCTCAACTTGCATATCATATTTTAGAACATGTGAGAATTTAAAAAACGAGGTGGAGCTGAAACTTACTTCACAAGCCAGGTGTGATGCTCATACAGGGAATGTAAAGTTTTACTTTGCAATAAGAAACAATCACTAAAATACACTGTAGATGAAATTATAAGAAGTATTTACAGGATTGCTCTCTTAGCAAAATCCAATACTACCTGATTTTATATTTTACTGCAGAAGCAAATATTTTTAAAATACTTACACACTTACCTTAATTTTATTCCTGCTATACCTACTTTTTTCATATGTGCAGGCTACAGAGATTATTCTTCTATTATCGCTTCTTTAATAGCATATTTTGAAAATTGGAAAGTATGTGCTTTTGTTCTATATTTAAATTTGATCCCATTTAGCTGAATGCCAAAATCCTTTTAGCTTCAGTGAGAAAATTCTAAAATACATATGTCAAGTCTTGGAGATGCTAAGAAATTGCTTACTTGAAACTTTTTACTTGAACTCCCAAAGTGTGCTTAAGTTTAATATTTCATGGTACCTTAAGTTCAGAGATGAATAATGGAATTCTATTAAATTCAACAATACTTTGCTTAAACGGAAAAGGTACCCTGATTTACACTATAAATGCAACATAAACATAAAACAACAGTACACTGGCAATCTGCTCTGTGTTTAGAAGACCCTGCTGCAGTATCTGATTGCAAGTACAAGATCTACAAGGTCACTGTCTTAAAATATTCACATAGCAAGTATTTTAAAATGCTTACATACGGGGAAAAAAAGGTTATTTAACATTCACTCTAATGAATTTCTGAGTTGTATTATCTCCACAGCATCGTAAGCACATATTGCATTTGTGTTTTTCAGCTGTGCAGAGGTGAAGTAATGGCATTTCCAGACAGCCAAAAGCAAAAACGGAGAGAGGACCTATACTCTTGATGGATATATTTAACACATTTATGGAAGGTTTATGGAAGGTTCATTGTAGTTCTTGGTTCCTCTTTTCAGTGACATTCATGATTAATACAGAGATGCACGCCACGTTAAAAATCTCTCAACATTTCAAGCAAAGAGAAACATTGTTTTTAAGAATAAAATAGTTATTTTTACTCTTACTATACTTTGGTTGGTCAAGAGGTAATTTTGATTACTGTGATTTCCTAAGTCATAAAAAAGACACATTGATTTGAGTGTTTAATTACTTCTGTTATTTCAATGCAAATCTACGTTCTAAGAACAGTCTCTATCTGTCAAGTAAATATCAAGGTGAAACCAAATCATGTAGCTTTGCACTGGGGAACAGCGAACACATTCAGATGAGGAAAGTCTATCCTGATGCTTTTCTAATCAATATCAACAAATTTATGCCAGAAATTAAGCTTTGCGTTTATTTTTCATTAGTTGGTTCTGAAATCTCATCAGAGAAATCTATTTTTTTTTCTTTTTTTTTGAAGTTCAGAGTATCACGGAGCCTTTCATTGAAAAGAGCAGTACTTCAGGCTACGGACAAGCTCCTAAAACAGGATTAAAAGCAGGCAAGTCCTTTTAAGATTTGTGAAACTACCTGCTGAATTATTCCTTCACTGAGGAAATCTGGGTCTATGAGGCAGGACAGAGCAGCCAATTTCCCCGCCTTGTCATATTGCTTACTTTGGCTGCAGCAGCAAGCAAGTACAGATTTTTTAATATACTTTTATTGCCTTTTAGATGGCCAGATTACTGAGAGAGTTTTGGGGGCATTTTCTTCCTGATTTTTTATGACCGTGTCTTTTTGATGAGACTACTTTTTAAATTTTATTGGGGAATAACGGCTGAATTTCTATCAGGCTAGTATCCAGCTGACAAATTCTATTAGGTGCAATACCAAGCATGTTTATTTGGAGGTAGAGTGTTTCGGTTTAGTGTTTTGTGCTTTCTCTCTCCTTTATTTCTATTTGTTTCATTTTTGTTTGTTTAAGAACAAAAGAAAACAAATGCTAGTGTGCTTCCTGGCTTCTCCCCTGCTGCTCCTATGTACATCTCATGCTCTTTTAAACCAAGTTCCAAACTAAAACAAACTGAAACGCCAGCTCTTCTAAAGAAATCTGTGCAAATTACACAGCAAAAGTCTATTTTCCTGCTTTCCAACAACGGAAAATAAAGCATTACAGTAATTATTCTCAAAACAACTACAAAGAACTTGTGCCTTCATGAGAAGAAGTGATTGAACGGAGAGCACTGAAATATGACTTAGAATAAATGATATTTATTTATATATACCAACCAGTATTCTAACATTACATATAAGCCCCCAGCTACACTCACAAGACGTTCAGGGCTGCAGGTGATTTTGCTCTAAACCTCTGATTTTGAAGGGACCTTCCTTTGAGGACTGGTTTCTTTCATTTCGTTTACTCCTACATCAATAGGTTGCCAACCTGCTCAGCATAAGACAGGACTGTGGAAGAGGCAAAGAAAAAGTACTTTTTGCAAAGTTAAAGAAAATCAAGAGAGCAAGTTTTTAGCCTGCAGCATCTTCCACCTAGAGATTTTGAGGTTTACACCCATATGAAAACACAGCCAGGAAAAGTTAGCAAAAAGACATAGAGCAGATTTTCTTCAGTACAATTCTGAATATTACAATGTTATACTAGCACTGCTATTGATCTGAATTCTGTGATGTGTTTTGGATACATCTCTGCTTTTAAGGGTGATAAAATAACTGTTTACATTTCTTACTTTAGGCAAATAGCTCCATAAAAAGCATGCCAATCAACCCTAATCAAAGCATATATATTCTTCAACAAAGATATATTTTAAAAACTGGCAAGTGCTACCTTAAAAAAATAAACAACAATAACAAAATACCAAGCTGCATATTTCCCCACTTGATCCAGGCTAATATCAAAAAGGACACTTTAGGTGTAACTTATCCCAAACTTTTAGGGGAGATACTTTATTTGGGAATTCAGTTCACTTTCCTGACTATAGCCAGAAGCCTCAACACTCAGATGTCTCTCTTATTTTTCTTTTTGCTCTTAAAAATGACACTAAACCTACTTTAATAGGTATTTCATTACTTCTACAGAAGTACCTGCTATAAAACAAAATACATATTCCCATAAGCCTTTTACAAATTCCTGCAAGCCATTAGGCCCCATTGAATATTTCAGTTGAATTTTAACCACGTTCTTGCTCTTTTTTCCGTCTTACTATCTTGCCATACCATCTTAGTAATAATCATCACCATTTTTCCTTTGAGATTTCAACTTCTCTATCTTAATTAAAATTGTAGACTTATGTTACAGCACTAATTTAACTAGAGGAATTTGAGAATTGGAGCAACTGGGAGAAAAAAAAGATTCAGCTGTCTCTAACTCTCTCCAACATTTAACTGTGCAAGTACCCCATGTATTTTACAGGCAAGGTGCCTTCTTAGATGCTACAGGCGACACAGAAAATAACATCACACCACGTCACCAGCACAGGACTAATCAAAAGAAAAAACAGGAAGTGCTTCATACAATATCTGAAAGAAAGATCGTGCTACCTGTATCGGACATGCTCGACTGTGTCATACGTCAGCTTGCTGCTGGTATTCCGACTATGAGGGTTGCCTAGGAGACAATAGAGATAGAGAAGTTAATCATTAATCACACTTTTTCTATTATTTTTTTTTTCTTTTATCAAAGTACTGCACCAAGTCAGCCTGAAAAGATGACAAAGAAAGATTTAATGTATACTTCACAGCAATGCCCTGAAGCTCCTCAGAGTAGTTAAACAAGAGAAGGGACAGAGAAAAAAGCAATTACAACAGACCTTGAAACTTCAGCCAGAGCAATTATTAATACTCAGGCAGTCCCCTTAAAAGAAAAATACAACCGCACATGCCATTTCATTAGCAAAAACTACAGATTGAATGTACATTAATAAATATATTCACATGTTACCTAAGAGGTGATTTAGAGGACAGCATTTAGAGGACAGCATATGGAGGCAACAGACAATCACAATTAGACACTGGGATTACCTCCTTCTGCCCTTTTTTTTTTTTTTTTTTTTAATAAGAGTCTGAAATTCTAGGAAGCTGTCAAAATACAAACTCTATTGCAAAATTATTAGACACCTTGGTACAGGTTCAGCAATTAATACGGAACTTATAATGGCATAAATTAATCTCCGAGGAAAAGCTGACTGTATATACACAGATACAGCACTCTTTACTATAAGTGTTTAAGAATATGCCTAAATATTTTGAAAGCAAAGAAAAATAACTCTGTATTAATAAAGTGTTTTTTTCCCACAGTAGGATACAATATCAGCTCTTCTCTTTTTCAATTTTCAAAATCCCAAGCTTGAAAGTTCTCAAGTAAAGGTGTTAAAATGAATAAGAAATTTAGAACTCAATCCAAAATTTAATACCTAGACTCTTTGACGTTGCATTTCTGTAATTCCCAATTCAGATATTCTTAATTTAGAAGCAAACATCTCCTACATTCTATTCTCTCATTTACACGTACAACAACTAAATTACAATTCTTCAGGACTGTGGGTTATCACCAAGGCAGAGAAAACAACAACCTGCAAGCCAAACTCTCCTGTGCCCCTTCAACACCTACTTTCTATACCATAGTTACTGCCCTTGGAGTAGCAGGGGTACAAGGCAAAGGAGAGATCTTGTTACCATTTTAGTCGAAAGCAACATAAAATTTGCTCTCCCAAAGCATTATAGGTATTCTGCAAATCTACTTCAAAGTGGCAGCACAACTATTTCCATTCATGAACATTCAATTGACTCACAAATTTATTTTTTTCCACCACAGATGGTACTTCATAAGTAAGGGTTGAGCCCAGTGTTATTTGAAATAGCTAAGATCAGAGTACATACATTTGGCTTTACAAAGGCTCTAGTGACAGAACATGAATTGTTCTGACAATGCACTTGAACAGAAAATTTTGAATGTAATCAAATCAACATACCCTGTTGAAACAACCATAATAGCAAGTAACCCTACCCCTATGTGAAAAAACTTCTCATTCATTGTGGGACTTAATCCATGCTCTAAATCCTGTCCTTGGCAGCACTCAAGAGACAAGGGAGGGAAAGATGACAGAGCAGCGTATGAAATGATAACCGTGCAGCTCTGAAGCGGCTCACCCGAGCCGTAATCACCACTGTGCCGCCGTCATCCCCAGGGTTTGAGAGAACATCATTTCCTTTTTGTGTACCAGTACCTCAAAAGAGAGGGATCACATCGCTCACGGCCTCACGGAGCACAAGCAAGACAAAACTAGCAAAAAGGTGCACAGACTTAACACACAATAAGAAATTTTGATCAGCTGAGAGGGACTATTCACAGCACGTGATACTTCGCAGTAGCTTTTTTTTTCCCCCCTGCTGAATGAGGGTGAATGACTCTTCTGTGGTACTCTCTACAGTGCCCTGTACTCTACAGTACAGTGTTAGTACAGTACTAAATGTCTTAAAATAAAAGTATTTCTTAAACTATGAATGCTGCTGGCTTTCTATGAAAGGGCAGTCAGGCTCTCAGGTAGATAATAAAGATCTAAAGAGACAGATCTAAGGGACCTGGGGATGAAATGACACTAGGTGAAGCTGAAATGTGCACAGTTGCAATAACTACATCTCCATCCAGCTATTGCTTGATTTTGGAGACATCTCTGTTCTTGTTCTTAGGTTCAGATTATTTTGGCACTATACATTCTTTTTTACTGAGTGCTTACCAAAGCCTAACAGGCTGAGGGCATTTGTAATGTTGGGGCTAAGCTTTCTTCGAAATAAAATGTTTATATACCGGGCCAAAGCTGGCGCGACAAAGCCTAGCTTTGCACATCTTTCTTACAACAGCCACTGCATGCTCTCCTGCTCTTGGACTCCTTCCCCAGTATCTTCTGCCAACTTCTGTCAATCTGCAGGTTGGGATCCTCCTCAGCCAGAGACTGCATTCATATTTTTGTGCTTAGTATCTCTCCCTAAACTCCCTTCAAAAAAATGCAAAGGCAGCTACTTTGGGGAGGGCATCGTGAAGGTAGCAGTCACCTTTCAGGAACGGCCTTAAGGCTCCTTTACCCAACAGCAAAGGAGGGAAAGATTTGCAGGGCTGAGAAGGAAGGCAAACACCAAATGGTGACAGTGCTCATGTGAGAAAGAGCTCTTGATTTTGATCCACGTATAAGGCTTTTGTATTTTGTGTGAAAACAAACAAAAACTGACCGAAGAATGGTGCTGAGCTTATATGGACGAAACTACAAAGGCAGGCGCAGGTACCCCTCGGGGACAAGGTGTACTAGCCGTAACTGTCCTCAGCCAGGCCAGGCAGGTCTCCTCCACCCGGACCTGCCTTGGCCACAAAAAGAGCAAAGCAAGGTAAGGAATTAAAGAGACCGTGACTCCTTTGTACAGTCACTGGTCTTCAAACTACAGCAGTATCAAAAACCGCACAGCAGCGCTCGTCTCACAGCTCCGGAGGCCCCGCTCCCTCCTGTTCCGACAGGAACGGGAAGAGAGCGGCGAGAAGGTTGTGTGCTGCTTACCATAAACGTTGTTCCGCAGGTCATCGGTGAAAGCTTTAAGTAGACTCTCTGGGAAGAGAGCTGAGCCTGCATGGTCAAGGTAAGTAATCCCTGAAAGAAAAAGAAAATTATTAACATTTGGTTTTTTTAACATTGAATTCCAATCTCTCACATCTGCTACATATCCATAGCAAAGTACACCACATAAAAAGTCCCTTTCCCTGAGCTTCTAGGTGTGTCACCTCTCTCTGGCTAAAGGGCCTGCATGGTTCCCAAAAACGCTTGTCAAATACATTTCAGTAATTAGATAATATTCCCAGAAACAGTAATTTCCTCTCACCAGCAGGGGCAAAAAAAGCATATGACACAAGCCCATTATTTTGACCACATCTTCCCATTTGTTATTAAAGGTAAAATATTAAGAGGTCTTTTCTTTCATATTTAGAGTATAAGTTTTTTTTGAAGGGAGGAATCACTATCTGTACAACCCTGCGCAAGCTAGCACCTTGAAGTGCTCACAGCGCCTTGCCATTCCTACGAACCACTTATTATGAATGACAGTCATTAATAACAGTATCATTATTTGTAATGATTATAACAACAGCAACACTGTTGCCTCCTTACTGAGGGAAGAAAGGATTCTCTCAAGAACTGATAAGGCCTAAATAGCACTTGAAACCCAAAGACAGGACTAGTTTAAATTTTTCATGTATTTAAATATTTCTTGCCACTCTGCTGCACTTAACATTAAATTCATTTTTAAAATCCCCTTTGTATTATTTAGCTGCTGCAAAACTTTTAAATAAAAGCTTATTGGAAACGAAGGGTTCTTCATGTTTGGCCATTTTAGGTTTCTTAATCTGTAGCAATTATTCTTCCATTTCTCCAGTGTGTCTCATGCCCATTATTAGTTTTTTCATTTCACTTACCTTAAGTATTTCAACCTATTTCAAATTTTAATAATGATGAATATGATTAAGATTAGAATTTAATAAGTATTTTAAAGGTCTTGCCTTTCCACAGGGATTTAAAATTCAGTTAAGCTTTAAATGAGAAGCCTTGACGCTTGGAAATATATATAATTCTATATTATGTTGCAGTAGCAGTGATTCAGTGGGTAAAAATGTGATACAGACCTAATGATAAAACGCATCTGGCCACTCATACTTTTTCTTATTTTCAGAAAAAGAGAAGCACTATCCTACTTAAAAATCACCGTATTTAAAGTGTCTAGCAAAAGCAGATTTTTCATGATGAAGTTAATTAGGAAAAGTGTTTCGAGGAGCTTTGAGGAGAAAAACAGAGAAAAAGAAATTAGTTAGATTTATTAGAGGTATATATCTATTTTTAAGATTTTCACTTTATAATCTAAAAAAAAATTTTAAAGTCTCTCAAAGCAGTAAACACAGCCATACAGAGGGCAAAATGAAAGCTCTTTGCTAAGCCCCCTGTCTGCTGCACAGTCAGTCTGTATGGAAAGTACTCGCACATGAGCTAGACTTCAAGCAAGCGCTGATGTCTCCATATCACTCTTTC